AAAGTATGGAAGTTGCACAACCAGCAAATTAGGGACTTAGGTCTCAAGGTTATCATTTTTGGGGGAAGTTGGATGACATTCCCTTTCCAGACTCCCGAAGTAATCCTTTCTGGAAGCTAATAGGCTTTTCTTCCAGTCCTGCTCTTTGCTCAGAAAGATGTTTTCTTTTGCTTGAACAAAATGAGGGCTGTCACAGAGTGTCCTGCATCTGGAGATAACCACCAAATAATTACAGCAGTTGGGTTTTGAAATTGCTACCAGCAAGGAATGTTAATCAGCTTGTTTAGACTATCTCCAGTATGTGCTGTGTTTTCTACTCTTGCTCTGTGGCAAAATAAGTGGCCTAAGATTTAATAATGCAGCAAAATAGTCACAGAGAAATATAGCAACAGTTTAAGCAATCTTAATAATATAAAACCTTGGTAGGGGTTATTTCACTCTTTACATGTGTCCTTATCTCACTATGTGTTGGAATCAACTTGATGTCAATGGGTTTTGGATTTTTGTTCTTAATGGTGAGAGGTGAAGCAAAGGCCTTGGAGAAAGACGAAAGTGTTTCTCTTCACCAAAACCAAATCCACTGCCATCAGTTCAAATCCAACTCATAGCGACCCTATAGGACACAGTAGAAATGCCCTGTAGGGTTTCCGAGGCTGTACATTGTTATGGAAGCAGATTGTCTCATCTTTTTCTCCCAGAGCATCTGGTGGGTTTGAACTGCCTAAATTTTTTGAACTTTGTGATTCCCACTATGCAAATTGCCTTAACCCTTGTTTTGGTTCTCTAGTGCCACTCTAAAAAAGCTATCACAGGTGGACGGCTTTAACAAATAGGAATTTATTCTCCTACAGTTTTGGAGACTAGAAGTCCAAGTTCAAGTGCCAGCTTTTGGGGCTGGGTGAAGGCCCCTCGACCTTGGGCTTCAACTCTGCCTCTTGCTCCCAGCCCACTGAAGCTGGAGGCTTCTTTTAACTTAGGCAGCTGCTGCCTGCTGAGACTGACAAACCCAAGATTGGAAAATAAAATGGCACAGTCCTAAGATTATCAAACAACATAGCAAGCTGCTGAATGATGACTGGGCTACATGCAGGGCCCAAGTGTGCCAAAAACAGAGGAGACCTTTCTCAAAGCTGCTTCTTTGGCTGGAAGCAGACCACATCCCTAAGCAGCTACTCAGCTGCTCCAGTAGATTCCATCATGGAGTTGATTACCAGTCTCACCATGGGGAACTGCCCAGCCACTCAAAACCAAGCCCAGCAGAGTTGACACACAACTTAACTACCACATCCCTCAAAAAAAGCTATTTACTTTTAGAGAAGTTTGACCAGATTCTGCCATTTTGCTCTATGACACATCCAATTATCAAGAGTTATCAATCTGACCTCACACATTTTTCTTGAATCCACACCCTCCTCTTCATGTTTAAACCCTGATAGCAACTCAAACTCTCATTCTCCCCATTACCAGGACCATGGGGATGACTTGTCTTTCTGCTTCTCATTTAGTCTCCACTCTGCAGCCAAGTAATTTCCATAAAATAGAAATGTGACTCAGTTTCTCCTTGAAATCTAATAATGGTTTTCCACTATTGATGCAAACTCTTAAGGTGCTTGCCTGCTAACCTAGAGATTGGAGATTTAAGTCCACTTGAAGGCACCACTGAAAATCCTGTGGAGAAAAGGTAACTGCAAGGAGCAAGTGGAAAGAGAGCTAATATATTATGGTGATTGCAATCAATGTCATGAAACAAAATGTGTATGAAATGCTGTACGGAAAATGAATTGCTTTGTAAACTTTCACCCAAATCACAATAATTTTAAAGTTCTACTCTGACCACATGAAGTTGCCATGAGTCAGAGTCGAGTGGATGGGCACTGGTTTTTGTTTTATTATTTTCTGGAAAGAGACTAAGCTACTTAGCATGCACTCCAAGATTTCCACGACCTGCCTCCCACCTCTTTCTCCAGACCTATCATAGGTTTTTTCTACCTAAAGCTTTTCAAAATGAAATTTGTGCATATATTATGTAGGCCCTCTTGAAGGAGCTCTGGTAGCGTAGTGCTAAGGCATTTGACTGCTAACCAGAAGGCTGGTGGTTCAAACCCACCAGCCACTCCTTGGAAGAAGGTTGGGCAATCTTCTTCCATAGTGATAATGCCTCAGAAACCCAAGGAGGGGTCGCTATGAGTCGGGTCTGACTGGACGGCACATAACAACAACAACAACATCTAGACACTCTAAAGTTATTCCTACTGATGGGAACAACATTCCCACTTTTCTCCACTTGGACAACTGTACTTATGTTATAGTGCAAGAAAACACTCTCAGTCCATGAAAATGAAATTAAGAAGAATTATTCAGAAATTTTACTTCCAGATATGGGAAAGCACCAGCCCATGTAGATGAAACCTGGTAACTTCCACTAACAATTTCTAGCTAAAAGCAGATATAATCTGTGGAACAAAGGAATTATAATACAGTGATTTGATTGGTTAGTCTTTGATTAAGGTTATCACAGTTGGGGAGTAGGCTTCCATTGAATAATTGGATATAGGAAATCACAATGATTTATTTCAAGAACTAATTACAGAGTTTTTAATTATCACTCAAATAGCTTTTATGTGGAATCATAAAACATTGCTGAAGGAGGTTTACACAGCTTTAACCAGATATCCCAGGAGTGGGTGGAAACTCCTCATGGTATCAAGATCTCATTTCTCTAACACAACTTGTTGAACACTTTTAAGGGGTTTGGGAAACTTTAGAGAAGGCCGGCTCTAAATGTTTTCAAGCACTTCTCTTTCACACATCTCTGTCATAAAGAAATATTTCTTTATCCCACTTTTTACAAAAGACATCTGTGTCAAGATTCCTTTCCTTAGAGTATATTTCCTTTACATCCTGATTTGACTATATAGGGAGATTACGTTTTAGTTATATGGCTTCCAATAACTAACACAGTGAGCGAACAGGAGCTTGTAGAGGGAAATTGACTTTTCAGCTTACAAACAGATTCCCAGGCTGGCAGATCCATAGAAAACAGTTTAATTCAGCAAGAATTCAGTGAAATTCAGTCATTCAGCTTTGGTTAATAAGGCTTTATGCATTTCTCCTTTACATTTATTAAAATTCTAACCCTCTAGGGTGGTCTGTGTCACTCTTGTTTTTCCATGGCTTCCTGTGGAATCTCTTTAAGCACTTGGCTCACGCTAATCGAAACTAAGTATGCGCCTGCGTCTTCATCAATCTGAAAGTCTGTGAAAGCAGAGAATGTGCTGTTCCTTATTGCTTCTTCCCCACCCCAACACAGGCCGGGCGTCTGGAACGGAAAGGGCGTTCCAGGAAATTGCTGAACCAGCGGAACTGCCCAAGCCGGCAATCAGAGGTGTGCGTTCATAACTCCTGCGTTGGCATTGATGCACAGTCCAAGGCCGGGTTAACCGAGGACCTTCCGGTTTTCTTTTCGCAAACTAAATGGAGTCGCTGCCAAGAGGGACAGTTTTGAAAGTTGGGTCTGATTTGGGGCTACTCTGTACTCCGAGACCAGGTCCTCCTCGCTTGAGTACTGCCTCACGCTGCTCTTTGGCAAAGTTCCGGAGCTCTGGGGCCCAACTGGGACCATAGTGGCGGCTCTCACCAATCACAGAGCGGTCCGCCCCAGGCACACCAAGCTTCCCACGCAAAGGGCAGACTTAGGTCCACGGAAACCAGGGCAGGGCCCCAAACGCAGCGCTTGCTGGAGGCGGAAACGAGAGACTGCAGCGGCGGCGCTGGAGACCCGCGCTCCACGTCCTGGTGCAAGGAGCTCCCCGCACTTCCTCAGGTGACGTATGTACTGCCTTTCACTGGGCTTTGGTGGCGTATTGCCTAAGGCATTTGACTGCTAACCAGAAGGCTGGCGGTTCAAACCCATCAGCCACTCCTTGGAAGGCAGACTGGGCAATCTACTTCCACAGAGAGACTGCCTCAGAAACCCAAGGAGGGGTCGCTATGAGTCAGATAGGACTCTACGTCAGTGAGGTTTTTTTTTTTTTTTTTTTTTTCACTGAGCTTTGCGAATCCCAGCCCATCTACTCTTTTTGGCTTGAGGGTTTTCCGATCTGTCCCGGGTGCATTGCCTGCGAACCACCCAGACTGCCCCCATGCTCTGCCAGCCAGCTGTGGTCCACAGATATTATGCTAGGCACCGACCCAGGCCTTGGAGACCTTACAGTGAACTGAGAGGCGAAGGCCGGTTAGGATTGCGATGCTTCTGGGCCCTGAGATCTGTCAGTCTCTTCATCAGTGCCTCTTTCGAGGTTTCTCTCCCCCTACCCAGTCTTCTGCGGAAACCACAATTATCTCATCCTGCCTGATGCTCTTTTTGTCTTTCGTGCTCCAGCTGCTACCTGGTCAGTGCATACTTCCCATATCTCTGTGGAGCAGGCCCTTAGACTATTTCCACAGAACCCCCTTCCCCAGCTTCAACCATATCCCCTTTGTCCCTTCTCTGGAGTTTCAGGCATGCCCTTTCCTATCCGTGGACTCTGGGTTTAGTGTCTTCAGCACTTCCCTGCCCCACCAGCTGTTTCTGGCCTGTGGACTACTGCACCTCTAGAAGCCCGGTGATGCACAGTTTAAGTGCTCAGCTGCAAACAGAAAGAAAGGTTGGCTGTTCGAACCCACCAGCCACTCAAAGGGAGAAAGATGGGGCAGGCTGCTTCAGTGAAGACTATAGTTTTGGAAACCTTATGGACCGGTTCTACTCTGCCCTACAGTGTCTCTATGAGTCTGAATCAAAGGCAATGGGTTTGGTTTTTGTACTACGAAACAACTCTAGTGCTAGGGGGACCTGAGCGAAGCAGAGCTACCTTGTGAATTAGGGCAGTCCAAGGAAATCCCTCTGAAGCACCCCACACCCCCTACCTTCACTGTCTCCTGTCTCTAAACAGCCTCCAGGAATGGCTTCCTAGTCTTACCCTAACTCGTTATCCCTCTTTCCTTTCAGCACACCTCTCTCCATGAAGATAATTGCAGGCATCTTTTTACTGCCATTTATCATATCAGGCTTTGCTCCTCGGGCTAGATATGGTGTGAACCACGTGTCTGAAAAGGTGCTGCAGTCCCAGTCCAGGTGTGCCTATGTGGGAAAGGATGGGAGCTCTTCTTTCTTTCATGGAAAAAAAAAAATATCAGAAGTGTTAGCATGTCCTGCCAACAAGTACTTCTTATTACTTTTAAGATTTCGTATCTCAGCCTTCTGGTTAGAAGCCCAGCACTGAACCACTACTCACCAGAGCACCTCTCTTCCCTTCCCATCCCCCTTCCACTTTCATTCCCTCTCTGTTTTGCCAGGTTTAATTGGTCTCTTCTGGCCCCTGCTGAGCTGAAGGACCGCTATATGGGACTTCAGACCAAAAGCATGGGCAGAGGCAATCCACACTTCACGCTGGAGGGTCATAAGTTCCTGATCTTTGGGGGCTCCATACACTACTTCCGTGTGCCCAAGGCGTACTGGAGGGACCGATTGCTGAAGTTGAAGGCCTGCGGCTTCAACACCCTCACCACGTGAGTGTTGAGTCATCCCACCACCACCACCACCTGGTGCTCCTGCAGGGTCTCCTACCTTCTGCATCTCGGTCAGAGCCTGAGCCTCTTGTTGAGGAGCTCAGTCTGAGGGCTCCCTTTGAATAGATGTTCCAGCATATGCCTTTCATGGTGAGTTACTTCACTTCTCATCCTTAGTTTGCTCAGTGATCAAAGTCTTGGATGGGAGAAGTCTGAAGAGAATGAGTGATTTCCTCAGGAATTTGTCTACAGGAAAGTTATTATGACCCTTAGGAGCATTCAGTTCAAGGTCATTCTGACTTAAAACAACTCTATAAGATAAAGTAGAACTGCTGTATAGGGTTTCCTATAGGCTATAAATCTTTATGGAAGCAGACTGCCAGATACATCTTTCTCCCATGGAGTGGCTGGGGGTTCAAACTGCTGATCTTTCAGTTAGCAGCTGAGCACTTAACCACAGTGCCATTATCTTTATGATGGCACCATTTTTCCCATCACCATAAACAGAATCTTCATAAATAACTTAGTCAGTGTATACTTTAGATAATTACATGGTGTTTTTTTTTTTTATTTGTTTTTAAGAATAAAAGGCTCTTTATTTAGTTAAAAATACCAAGATGCATATGCCTGGAAAACTTTGAAATAACTTTTCACATTTAGAGAAGCAGATAACCTGTTTTCATTTCAGAGTTGCAAGATTAAAAACAACTTTGTAATTTTGTACCTGAACTTAGCTATCAAGACTATCACAATTTTATATTCTGATTTCACCACAATCATATGATTAGAATAGTTTTGTGTCCAAATTATTTTATAAAGATTAATTCCATAAAACTAACAAAAATGTCCAGTTCTTTTCAAAATTGAAAGTAGAAGAGAATTTATATTGTTTTATTGCTGGTACAACATTTTTCAGGTGTACAGTTTAGTGAAAGGGGCTCTGGTTGTGCAGTAGTTAAGTGCTTGGCTGGTAACTGAAAGGTGCCACTGCTTGCTCTGCAGAAGAAAGACATGGGAGTCACTTCTGTAAAGATTAACAGCTTTGGAAGCCCTATGGGGCAGTTGAACTCTATCCCTTAGGATTACTATGAATTGGAATTCACTCAATGACAAAGGATTTTCGCTTCTTTTTTGTACAATTTAGTGATATCTATTATATTAATTAGGTTGTGCAGGCATCATCTTAACATTTTTTCCCATCACCATAAACAGAAACTGACTGCTTCCTAAACTATGACTCTTCTTACCCCTACCCTCCTGGCCCTGGTAACCACTAATAAACTTTTGTCTCTATGCATTTACTTACTCTTTTTTTTTTCCTTCCATTTTTGAATGCCTTTTTTTATTATTGTGATATGCGTGAAGATTTACAGAGGAAATTCACTTTCCATACAGCAGTTCACATACACTTTGTCTCATGACATTTACCACAGTTTACCATAGTGCAACAGCTCCCCTCCCACTTCCTCCCTATAGTTACCTCTTCCCTGTGTCCATCTGTCCATGCACTCCTGCCCCCTGAACTGTCTCCCTGTGCATAAGCAGCCCTTCTTTCTCCCATGATTGTCCTCTCCAAGGAGTGTATCTACCTGAAGTAAATGTTCAACTCATATGCCTGTATTTTGTTTGGCTGGAAACCACAGGTGTGGGTTCAATTCTAGACCTGAAGGGCAGCTAGGGGCCATAGTCTCAGTGGTTCCACCAGGCTCTCTCGGACCAGCAAACCAGGTCCCCGCCTTTTTTTTTTTTTTTTTTCTCCAAATGATTTTGAGTTTTGTTCTACATTGTTCTCCCTCTCTATCAAGGATCTCCTACATAGGTCCCCTTGCAAGTGGATGACAGTGGTAGCTGGGCACCATCTAGTTCTTGTGGTCTCATAGTTGTATAGGTTGCAGATCGGATGGTTTACCAGTCGCTAGGACTAATTGTTTCTTTGAATTTTGGTTTTCTTCATTCTTTGCTCTAGACGAGAAGAGACCCATCATTGCATCTAGATGGCAGCTTGGTAGCTTTTAAGATCCCAGTCGCTACTCGCCAAAGTAGGAGGTGGAATAATGTTTTGTATGGTATGTTATGCCAATTGAGCTTGATGTCCCCTGCGACTATGGTCCCAAGCCCACAGGTTCAACTACTCGGTCCCTCTGGGTACCTGGCTGTGACCAAGCAGTGACCACAACCTTGCCCCTTGTCAGCTCTACTATACACCTGGAAATTCTGATCATTTACATAAACTTACAGGACCATAGTCTGTCAACCCTCTATATCTTCTTGGATACACTCCCCATTTCGTAGACATACATAATCGTTCAGCCTGTCCACCCATCTATCCACCCATATACCCATGTTTGCCTTCACTGACAATGCAGTACTGTATGTGCAAAAGGGTTCATCTTTGTGATCTGTACCTCCCATGTACCTCTCTATGTCTTTCTCTTCCTCAGTGCTGCCATATTGGTCACTCACATTTGGTACATTGGCCTTCTCTTCACCCAAATCACTACTTATCTCTATCTATCTAACAGTGTTCCCTCCCCTCCCCTTCCACCCCTGGTAACCAACAAAGAAAATTTCCTTCTATAGATAAACCTTTCCTTAACTTTTACAATAACAGACTAATACAATATTTGTCCTTTTGTGATTGACTATTTCACTCAGCATAATGTCCTGCATGTTCATCCACATTATGCTGTGTTTTGCAGATTCTACATTATTCTTTAGCATTGCATAGCATTCCATTGTGTGTATGTACCATAGTTTGGTTATCCATTCCTCAGTTGATGGACACGTAGGTTGTTTCCATCTTTTGGTTATTATAAATAGTGCTGCAATGAACATGGGTGTGCATATATGTGTTCTTGTCATGGCTTTCACTTCTTTAGGGTATATAGCTAGTAATGGAATGGCTGGGTCAAATAGTATTTCTATTTCCAACCTTTGAAGGAATGACCATACAGCTTTCCACAATGGTTGTACCATTTTACAGTCCCACCAGCAGTGTATGAGAGTCCCAATCTGTCCACAACCTCGCCAGCATCTGTTATTTTCTGTCTTGTTGAACTTTGCTACTAATGCTGGAGCAAGACGGTATCTCATAGTTGTTTTGATTTGCAAGCATTTCTTCTTATGTTTGTTGGTAGTTTGAATATCATCCTTGGTGAAGTGTCTATTCATGTCTTCTGCCCATTTTTAAATTAGATTGTTTGTCTTTTGTTGTTGAGGCATTGGAGTTTTCTGTAAATTCTGGAGATAAGGTCCTTATCAGATATGTCATTACCAAATACTTTTTCCCAATCTGTAGGTTCTCTTTAGACTCTTTTGGAGAAGTCTTTGGAAGCACATAAAAATTTAATTTTTAGAAGGTCCTAATCATCTGGTTTCTCTTCTACTGTTTGTGCACTTTGAGTTATGCTTGATAGTCTATTTATGCCATATATTGTTGTTGTTGTTGCTTTTATGTGCCATCAAGTTGGCCCTGACTCATAGTGACTCCTCCTTGGGTTTCCGAAGCAGTATCACTATGGAAGTAGATTGTCTAACTTTCCTTCCGTGGAGCAGCTGGCTGGTGGGTGTGAACCGCCAGCCTTCTGGTTAGTAGTCAAGTGCCTTAACCAGTATGCTACCAGAGCTCCCGGAAAAAGAGTAAACACATGGAAACTGAACAACACCCTCCTTAAGAAACACTGGGTAAGAGAAGAAATGAAAACTGAAATTCAAAAATTCCTTGAATCAAATGAGAATGAAAACACAACAGACCAAAATCTTTGGGACACAGCAAAAGTGGTCATCAGAAGCCAATTTATAGCACCAAAAGCACTTATCAAAAAAGAAGAAAGAGCCAAAATCAACACTTTGAATCAACATCTTCAACAATTAGAAAAAGCAAAGCAAGAAAAGCCTATAGTCACCAGAAGAAAGGAAGTAATAAATATTTGAGCAGAAATGAATGTAACAGAAAATAGAAAGACAATAGCAAAAATCAACAAGACCAGAAGTTGATTTTTTCAAAAGATTAATAAAATTGACAAACTACTGGCAAATTTAACAAAGGAAAAGAGGGAGAAAATACAGATAATATGAATCAGAAATGAAGTGGGTGACATCACAACACAACCAATTGAAATAAAAAGGGTAATATCAGGATACTATGAAGAACTGTACTCCAACAAATTTGAAAATCTGGAAGAAATGGACAGATTTCTAAAAACACCAGTCATATAAACTAACACAAACTGATGTGGAAAAGTTGAACAGATGCATAACAAAAGAAGAAATTGAACAGGTCATAAAAAAATTACCAACAAAAAAAATTCCTGGCCCAGATGGTTTCACCGGAGAATTCTACAAAACATTCAGAGAAGAGCTGACACCAATCATACTCAAACTATTCCAAAACATAGAAAAGGATGGAATCCTCCCTAACTTATTTTATAAAGCAAGCATAACCTTGATACCAAAACTAGGCAAAGGCATCACTCAAAAGGAAAACTCCAGGCTAATATTCCTCATGAGTATAGATGCAAAAATCTTCAACAAAATTCTAGCCAATAGATGTTGATAACATATCAAGAAAATCATTCATTATGACCAAGTGGGGTTCACATCAGGTATAGAAGGATGTTTCAACATTAGAAAAGCAACCAATGTCATCCACCACATAAATAAAACAAGGAAAAAGAACCACGTGATCATTTCACTTGATGCAGAAAAGGCATTGCATAAAATCCAACACCCATTCCTGATCAAAACTCTCAGCAAAATAGGAATAGAAGGGACATTCCTTAACATAATAAAGGACATCTATGCAAAACCAACAGCCAATGCTATTCTTAGTGGAGAGAGACTGAAACCATTCCCCTTGCACACAGGAACCAGAGAAGAATGCCTGCTATCACCACTTCTATTCAACATTGTACTGGAAGTCCTAGCCAAGCCATAAGACAAGAAAGGGAAATCAAAGGCATCCAGATTGGTAAGGAAGAAATAAAACTATCTCTATTAGC